AGTTCGTCGGCTTTTCATAGATATCCTTCGCTGCTTGGTACCCAAACTAAAATCACTTTGTTTTGACTACTTAACTTTGTCAGGTCTTCTAGGCCGTCTTTGATTTAATTTCTGGTGAGAGAATTGCCTTTAGAGCTGCTTGGCTATCAGAGTAGGTGGCAATAATTTTGCCTGATACTTGCCCGATTCATTGTTTCTCTTGGACAGTATTGTATAGTTATTAGTTCAACCTGGACCTCTGGTGCGTATTATATTCTCACAGACTCAGCGAAATCGTTGTTTTCGATATGGGTCCAAAGATTCCAGCACCGGTTCCTTCCTTGGTTTTTGAACAGGCTGTTACTAGACGAGCCTGTTTCCAGGGCATAGGGTTGGTATTTGCATTTCAACATTTCTTTAAAATTTGTATGTGGTTATGGTTGTATCAGTAGGCATTTCCAGAATCTGCTGGTGTAGCCTCTTATGGTCAATGCTATGTAGTTGGCTTATTGGGTTTTATTCCAACTGTTGAAATTATATTCAACATGTTCTATCTGCAGGGCAGATTAACCTAAATCCGCACTTAACAAATAAAAAAGAATAAAATACTAAATAGACACTCTCTGTATAAACCAATAATATCCAAAGCTGTTCAATATCAACCCCTTTTAACTTTCAAATAACCTTCAACGACACCGGCCGCCTCAAGATGCAGTTAAGAATAATCACGCGAGACATTTCACCCAATCAAAAGACAGATACTAAAAACAATGGTCTCGCGTGCAAAAACATACGAGTAAAGAGAGCCAATTAGAAGAAAGGTAAAAAACCGTTGTGGGTTGAGAAGTAACGCGGGACAAAACTAAAATCACTTTCGCTTTCTCTTTCGAACAAGCAACAAGTCAAAAAATAAAAGTTAAGAAGCCGGCATTCGCGGTAACCATTCCAAGCATTTGCGATTTCATTTTATAAAAAGTATGTAACTTATTAATAATTCTATGTAACAACAAAGTTGTAAATGTATTAAATGTGAACGTATCAAGCAGTTAATATACCAAAATCAAATGTAGGGTGATGGTTTTATTTTTAATACACCCAGTGCTTTAACTAGAACTACAAGAATATCTTCCCGAGGCTACAGGGAGGAGCATAAGGCCTCCACTCCAGGTAATCTAAATTGAACAGAGTCCACAATGATCGAAGGCAGCCTATTGTGTAAATAAAGCTAGGGTTTAACACCAACATTAGCCTGTGAATGGCTGAGCTGGTTTCTTCTTCTATGAAGATGTACAGCATTTTAAACAAATATTTCTATTTTGTATATAATGTAGTAATATAGTTTTTGTGAAATCACTATCATTACTTTAATAGTTGGATGCCTGATTATAACACTATAGACCGAAACTAGTGGCTTCCTTTAATTTTGCATCTTTCAATTATTTTTTTTATTATTATAAGAATTGATAACAATACAAGAAGAATCAAATCAAATTAAAAAAGGATAAATAATTAAAAATCTACTTACACTTTAGGTCTGCCTATTGGTCGTATATAGTTGAAAATACAACAGATACCATCAAACGTTATCCTAGAAAAAATTATTTCATGGCAATCGTATTCGATGCCTCCCCATTTGCATTTTAGCAACACGTCCTGACAGGTCGGTGCCAACTAAAACAAATATATATGTATAAAAAAATGTCGCATATTACATAAATAAATTCAATTTAGTCCAAGAAAAACTATTTACATTGGCAATATTAAATTATAGAAAAGTATTTTATAAAGAAATTGCTGCAGTTACAACTTTGGGAACTCTTTGTTTTTTAAATAAAGAACAAGTTATAAAAATAATTTTAAAAGACCGACTTCAAAATTGTACAGATGACCTTGAAAATTAAGATTTTTGATTTTCTCACAGATCATCAGATCCTGACCAATTGTATACGGAACTACCCCCCGAGGTATCCTCTTTCTAACAAAAAAGTAATCATAGAAATCGGACAACGTGGTAAAGAATTATCACTGAAAATACATAAAAAATAAAGAGTTTGATGATTTTCTCATGGACTCTATTATTAAATCTTGACCAAATTTATATGGGACGATCCCTGAGGTAGCCTCTTTCTAACAAAAAAAAAAGAATGATTAAAATCGGACAACGTGTTAAAGAATTATCGCTGAACATACATAAAAAAAATATTTCGACGAATTGAGAACATCCTCCTTTTTTTGAAGTCGGAATACATACACACTTAAGGTAACATTTGGAAAGGCAAGATCACAAAGCACATAGAGGTTCCACGTGAATGACCAAGGTCAAAACCGACAACTGACATTTCTTATGCTATTGACTCCAAACTCTAGATGGGGCTACTGGTTAAATTATTATTTCATACTCCATTTTTAGTTTTTATGGGCGAAAAACTTAACCAAAGACTCCAAAGATGTGACGTGTATTTATTTAAGTTTTTGGTTAGTCTCATTTTCCGTGTGATTTTAGTGATTTTTTTGTTGGCTTTGGATTTTGGTTTCTGTTTATAGTTTCGTCTTAGTTTTTGCAAAATTGTGATGTTTTGCTTTTCGTGTCGTGGGGGTAACCCATCCTCCACACGTTACAGATACAGAGAGAGGATTCACCTTTTAATTCAATACCTATATTACATTTATCCTTCAAGTAAAAAGACATTTATAAAATATAACTTTAGTGTTAATAAAATGTTATATCCTAGTTTCTACTGCACATTTCAATATATTGATATTTTAAAGATTTGAGATTTTATACCTACTTGCTCCAAGTAAGTATTCGTTAAATATGTATTATTATTATTTGTATTTATTTTGTTCTAATAATATTTATTTAAGTTATTAATAAACATATTTTAAGAATGTTCTATTTATTATTTATTGATATATCTTATATTTTATTTAATAATAATATGCAGAATCAACTCTCCAAATTAGACCGATAATAACAAATTAATTCCTTAAATTTGGCATATCCACCTAAATTATTTTGTAAAATAAAAATTTCGAACTTACTAGTTCCATACTTTATTTTATAAAATAATTTATGTGGAAAGTGAAAATCATTTAAAATTCAATTTAGAACTATTACCTACTACTAAAAATTATAATTTGAATTTACCGCCATCTGTCAATTGTCATTTTAGTTCCTGCTCCAAACTTAAGGTGGCGCTAATTTGGTTTAAAAGTCTATCATTGGCGTGGGGTCTCTAGAAGATAGGTGCTTTGTGGGCGAGATCGAATAAGACGGCAAGCGATAGGCAGCTAGCAGCAAATTATGCCGTGTTAAAAGTGTTGTCGTCGGTCGCACCGGCCCAAATGTGTTTCATATAATTTCATGTGTTCAGACGTAAAGAGACCGTTTTCGGTCTCCTTCACTGTCGCTTTACTCGGTCTCGCCTTCCGAAATGGTACATTTGAGAAGAAGAAATAGGTAGATTACCAGTGTGATGAAAAATTTGGAAAAGAAATAAATTAAATGAAAGAAATTATAAAGCAATATGAAACTAAAAAATCTATGGAAAATTGTCAAAAACACAATAATAACAGTAAGAGAAGAATGCTGCAGATTTAGTAAAATAGACAAATATAAAAAACAGACGAAGTGGTGGAAGGTGGAAATAAGACAAAAAATAAAATTAAAGGAACAAAAATGGAAAAGGCAAGAGTTTGGAGAAGCAAAGGAAAAAGATAATAAGGGACCAGAACCATTCCTGGGCACTGCTAAGAGCACGGTCAAAGGAGTTATCTCAAAATGGACAGAGGGTGTGACATTCATGAAGTGGAGATATAGCCAGGGCCCCCGCAACTGGGCGTGCAACGCGTGCACCGCACGCGGGCGCACCTCTAAAGGGGCGCCAAACCGGAGGTCTGTATACAATTCGAATTTTTAATTTTTCTAACGATTCCAATGAACAAGGCACTAAGACACTAAAGAAATCAAAAATTTTTATTTTATCTCAATTCATGATAATTAATATAATTAATAATGTTATCGAGTTTTGTTCGTTGATCTAATGACCTATTCCTATTGTGACAGAAAACATCTATTTTTGAAATCAAATAGCTATTCAATTAGCGTTAATTATTAAATAATAAAATCAATAGGTTAGTTAATTCTGTATGCAACATGCAATACCATGAATACCCGTATAAAGTATAAACTTGTCGATTTTTCCTGTCCAGACTAGAATACTGTACGAACGACGAGTAAGTTTCAAATTATATCTTGTTGATTTTTCCTGTCCAGATTTGAATACTCTACGAACTACGTTTTTCCTGTCCAGACTCGAATATTGTACGACCAGTAAGTTTCATATTAGATCTTGTCAATTTTTCCTGTCCAGACTTGAAGACTCATCTACGAACCACGAGTATAAATAAAACTGCAGGAGGCGTCGTAATCGAAAAAATTTTTACAGAGATCGACCGTCGTTACGAGCAGTTGGATAAAGGAGTAGGCAGATTGAGACCTTTAACCCAACCGTTTAAGACAATCGTTTTTAGTGCCGGGGATGGTATTTTATACCGGAACCGCCTAACTACATTGTAGTTTCGCGATCGTGTTTTTCAAATCGAGAGTTTAATACAAGTGCGGATGTTTTTACTAAAATAGAGTGACGCGATTTTACCATCGAGTGAATAGTGAAACAGTGCTAATAATAATCAAATCGGAGAAGGACACTATGTGCCTCTAGTTAAAACAAAGTGAAAAGGATATCTACACCACTGCATGGAGACAGACCCACCGAGGATAGACCATCAAGGATAGGTAAGAAATTTTTAATTTCTGAGTGCGATTTTCTATTTTGTTGCCGAATGACCATATTCACATGTTTACATTGTTTATATTTATATTAACTATATTACTGACATTTTAAAAATCTTTTTTAAAACAAATATTAAAAAAACGATTAATAATAAAAAAAAACTAGCGATTGAATTAAAAAAAAATTAAAAATGCCGGCCAACGGCTCGGACTATAAAAAAGATAAGACTGACTCCGTATCGAGCGTCTTAGCGCATAAAATTGACAAGGACAAAGCGGATAAAGCTAAAAAAAAAATTAAAGACATTCAGGACCAACTCACGCTTAGTGAGGAGGCCAGGGTTAGTAGCGAGGAAGCCAGGGTTAGTAGCGAGGAAGCCAGGGTTAGAGCGGAAGCGGAAACCGCAAAATTAAGATTGGAAGTCCAAGGACTTAAACACCAGTTAGAACAGGTTAATTTTACACTTAATAAAATAGTGGCGCAAGCCGACAAAGCCGATATAAAAAATAACATCTTAATGGAGAAACTTCTTGCACTTAGCAAGAAAGAGACTGACAAGACAGACAAAATAACCAAAGACAATAAAGAAAAGACAGACAACATAAACAAACAAAGTAAAATATCTAAGACCAAACACACAACTCTAACAACAGAACCAACTAAAATAGTAAAGACAGACGAAATAAATTCAACAATAACAACTGACGAAACAAAAGAAGTAACAGTAACTTCTGATTTAAATAACGATCTCACCGCCACCGACGGCGAAAATAACGATAATGACATGGACATTGACAACGAAGACAGGTTAAGCACCTACTCATACGACTCGACAGACGAACAAGGTTTTCGTAAAAGGAAAACACGTAGAGAAAGACGAACCGCCGCAAAACACAGAAAAAACGACGACCACCCGACTACTGTAAATAATAATAATAATAATAGTAACGCGACTAATACCGATAAAAATCAAAACATCAATGCGAGTAAAACGGACGAACCTAAAATTCCGAAAGTGGCATCTATACTGCTAGATGCCAGTTCTAACTGGGTAAAAATTACCCGCGAATTTGAAATTAATGATATATTTTACGAAATGGCAGTTGTAAAAGGCAACGGCACACGGGTATGGCCGAAAACCTCAGACGACTACCGAAAAATGACGTTGCACCTTGAAAAAACAGGTGTAAAATTCTTCTGCCATCAACTGGCAGAGGACAAGTCATATAAAGCGGTACTAAAAGGAATACCAACTAATATGTCGCCAGTAGACATAATGACAGACCTTGTTATACAGGGTCTGCACCCCATCAAGGTGCAACAGATGACCTCAAGAGTGGACAAAAGGGCTCTACCCTTATTCTTGATCGACGTACCCCAGTCCGAAAAGGACGATATACTACAAGTCATCCGGTGTGTAGGACTTGTAGTCAAAGTTGAGGCCCAAAGGGCTCCAAACGGCGCGACTCAGTGCTATCGGTGCCAGGGGTACCATCACGCACAATCCAGGTGCCACATGGATGAGCGATGCGTGAGATGTGGTGGAAACCACAGAGCTGCTCTGTGCAAAAGGCCTCTCAACGAGAAAGCCACTTGCGCAAATTGCCGCGGGGAACATCCTGCGAGTTATAGAGGATGTCCGAAAGCACCAAACATGGGTGTTAGTAGGAGGCCCCAGGTACCTAAACCAAGACAATTTAACTCAAAAACCACGACACAAGGTGTCAGTTACGCCTAACAACTAAACCAAAATAACAGCGTTAATAATAATAATAACAATAATAATCAAGCTGACTTTTTCGAACAAACGAAAAAGCAGATGCAATTGCAAATGACGCAAATGTTTAACAATTTCACCCAACATATGATGCAATC